GCAAATAGTATGAAATTTTATTTAATTAACGCTTATATCATAAAACGTCGCGAACATAAAAACTTAATAACTACAATTATATGCGTATTAAGCAAACTCATTTTCGAATTGACATAATATGTAATAGTCTGCAACTTTATTAGTTGATAATTGTCACTACAGTTATAAAAATTTCATCTTCAGCTTCACGCCTCCAGCAAACGTCACTTTATTAGTAACGGGCGGTTTTCATAGCGAGTAACCAGTTAATATGCATTTTAATGACACTGGGATACGACCACCCGGTAGTAAAGGCCAGTTTTTGCATAAATCAAACCTTTTCTCACACCAGTCTCTATTAGATTATTTAAATTTAATATTAAACGTAAATTTAAATCAGCGATGATTTGTTTTTGATTTAACCTGATTGGTACATAAGAAATGAACAAACAATAGGAAAATATTTGTAGGCCACCAATCATTATCACGGTCATGTTTTTTTTAAAGAACTATCAATAAATTATTTGTTAATTGATATTATTTATTGCCGTTTAGCAATAATGAAAGCTAATCAGCTAAAGTGTGTGCATCATAAAAAAACACCAACGCCGTTTTTGACTTCTTTATCACTTGGAGGTTTTCGTTTACAATCCCAACTTCGTGGATTGCGTTTTTATTTACCTATATAATTATTTAACGTTGACCAAAAAACTGAGAGAAAGTGTTAACAGACATACCCTTTAGGTAAAACGCCAGTTTGACGTTAAATATTGACACAGAAACATATATACCAATGTAAACTATACATACTCCGTCCGAACCTTGAAGTACACTGAGGCTCTAGAAATACAATGCACACTTGCCAAACTTACAGAATTTGATGCAACTCGGTTCATCATAAGTAACAGAGTTTTCAAAAGGGCCTTCCTTATTTTTTAATCTACATATCCCCTTCACGAACTGCGATCTACAAATTTGATAAAGAATCCACCTACAAAATTTCATCGTAATCGGTAATCGATATCGAAATATAGGGCTAACGGACGGACGGGCAGACGGACCAACACCGCAAAATTATAAACTCCCTAGGAGCTCGTTAATAAGGTTATAGCAGTGACTGATGTACCTCTAGAGCATATTAGAAGTACAGTTTTGGTCAGAGGTAATGTCCCTTGATTATCTCACGTGTAGCACATAATTAATAGGTATACCAGATCTCCTGTAAGTTTTGAGCATCTTTTCAAAATGAGGAAACCCCCTAAGATTGAAATGAAAGTTACTGAGGACTTCTGACCACGACATAAATAAAGTGAATTTCAAAGTGGTAACGATTATTTTCATTTAGGGTGGTAATAGAAGATAATTTACAAGCACCTCAAAAAGATTTCTATGGGGTTTTCCCGGACAGTGCATTGTTTTTTTGTTAATGGTTATTTCATGTTAATAGTTTTCTTCGTTTCGGCGTTCGACGAATAAAAAAATCTTCAGCAAGCATTACTCTGTGTTGGGTCTACGGACCCCACCAGCTATGAATGATCTTTTCTATAAACGTCGTTAAAAAGTGGGTTGTTCGTGAAAAATTTGAAGGAAATTTGAAGAGACCTTGAAAAGTATTTCAGAGAAAGGTTGAAGGAAGGAAATTGAAAGCGAACTTGACAAGAGGGCCCGAGGGGAATATGAAAACGTGGGACCAATTTAACAAAGAAAACTTCAGGCGCTCTTAAATTACGCTTTTAAGAATACATTGGAGTATCGTGAAAGCTTGAGGATAATGTGGGGATTTGAGAGGTACTAGATATCAATGATAAATAAACTTGAGATGAAATTAAAGGAATTATAACAAAGAAATGAGAATTGTTTGAAAAAAATTCGATAGGAATTTGAGAAAATCTAGAGAAAACTTTGGAAATACCTGACAAATATGAGAAGAATTTCTGAGAAAACTTGAGACCCTGGAGACCTACCTTAATGAGAAATTGAAGAAGTGGAGGTGAAAGTAATTTGAGGGACCTAAGACCCTGCTAGAAACCTGCGCACTTGAGAGTAATTTGGGAACAATTTTAGGGGAGCTTGGTATGAGCTTAACTTATAGAGAAATTGAAGAAGAAACTAAGGACTGAAGTTGAAAGTAATTTGAGGATAACTTAAGGGAAACTTGTAAGGAGCATCAAACAAATCTAAGAAGTTTGATTTAATTTAAATGAATAGGCTCGTGAACCCAATTGATTGAATATATAAGTAAAATGAAGGCGATCAGATCAATTTCCATGTTTCTTTGCAAGTTGTTTGACTCAAAATACAAGAAAATGCAATATATATCTCGTGATGTGTCAGTGCTAAATTTGATCCTCATTAAAATTCACCTTTACCACATAATAAATTACTGTTACATTCTACTGTTTTAAATATACACATACATCTGAATGCTAAACAAAATTGTAATCCAAGTAAAGGAATGATTGAATCATTGTAATCCTTTGTTTGGGGTTGATTCTTATCAATAAATATAATACAAAATCCATGCAAATAATTTTCACGGGTCGATTCCTTTAGGAATATTAAAATTATTTCAAACAAAATTACTTACGCAAATTCCTAAAAATATCGACCACTAGTTTATACAAATCACCGTAACTGACGTGCATAATATTCTCTTCTGGTAACAAATAATCCTTGAAAAATGTCGCTTTCTTTTAGAAATATGGCACCAGGTCCCTTCGACGTTACAGTCGACTCCGTGATGAATGCAAAACTTTGGCGGAAAAAAGTCCGTACGTAATGCGAATAAAAGCATCCAAGATGTACACGTTGCATATCACTTTTATTTTCAGACATACTTTCGTTCGCGTTCGCTATTAGGCGATATATGTGTAAATTTTCCTATGTTGAATAAAAACACATTCAAAACCAGATTTTTGAAACGGAAAAGTGACCATCTATTACACCATTGAACCTTTTTTTCTGACTTGGTTAAGAAAATTCGTATTACAGAAGGGTTTAAGACAAAATGTTCACTATTGGTTTGGAACTAGTCCACGATTACACACAACGTCAAGGCATCAATATTCAACAGCGCAGCGTTACGGTTTTAACATGTGGATTGGTATTTTTGGTACAATAGGATTGTAGGATCGTTTATTCACCAGAGCGCTATTTGCATTTACTGCAAAACGACTTAGAGGATGCTCTTGATAACATGCCCTTAGCGAGAGTTCTCAACTATAGCAGGATGGTGCACCTGCACATATTTCTAGAGCCGTTCGTTCGAGAGTATCTTTCAATGAGATTTCCAGAAAAAGTGACTAGCACGCATTCTGAAACACCCTGACCAGCGTGTTCGCCGATATAACCCCACTTGATTCTTCGTATGTGGGTGTTTATTAGAAAAAGAACGCAAGGAGAACTGAGGGGATTAGTTCTGAAAGAATTTGCTAGAATTATTTCACAAATGTTGCCTAAATACGGCGAGAAGATGCTATATGTGTTTAGAAAATAATGGAAATCCTTTCGAACATATGCTCTAAATTTGGCGGTTTTATTCACACTCGTTTGTTGTAGTATTTGAATTCTTACATCTGCTGTTCATTTAATTTTTTGGTTTTGTTTTTTCTATTAAGTTGTATCAATTGCTATTATACAGGGTGTTCCATATAAGTATGTAAAAAAATTTTGGGTGGTAGAGGGGATCATGTTTTGTTTGAGAGCCACCCCCAAAAAAGTGGTGAAATTTGCATTCTTCTTTAATTTCTTTCTCAGCAACCATAAGAGTTAGAAAGACTGGTGGCACGTCTTTTGAATAGGTTTTCGGGTATTCTGATTCTGAAAATTTTTTTTCAAAATTCCTACCACAAAAGGGTGACCCCCTAAGTGAGGGTGCGAAAAAATTTTTGATTTTGACGAAAAGTTGGTATCTGGGGGTTTTTGAACATCAAAATCACGAAACTGAAATTAGTTTTTGAAAATTCGAAAAAATGTTGAGCACAAATTAAAGAAGAAATGAAAATTTCACCATTTTTGGTTTAGAAAACTGCTTGTTTTGATCCCCTCTACCATCCAAATTTTTTTTTATATAGGTACTTATATCTACACCCTATATAGGGAGCTGATATAGACGTAGACGTTAATTGTCTTAGCTAGGTAATTATATATTAAAAAAAATTCGGAATTTTCTTAATTACGCCGAAAAAATGCTAATGCTAAGCCGTAATTAAGCCAAAGAATAGAGTGCTATCATACATCATTAAATTCATAATGAAAAGGACAATTACGGTTATGATATCAGAATATCAGGGTCGTATTTCAAAAAATGAAGTTGTGATGGCTCCGCAAGAACGACAAAAAAATTAACAGAAAAATCCCATTTTTTAAAATACTTAAAAAATCAAAATTTTCTTCAGAGGCTTCTAAACACTATGTTCTTAGATCTTTGATTGGGTAACTTTTCTTCCTTTTATGACCGTTTGCACCTACAAATTTAAGCCTTGATTAAACTCAAAATCTATGGCAACGATTATTAAGACAATGGTTGCCCTGGCATTTATATTATGCTTAAGTTTAAGCGACTTTGGCGGTGCAATTAGTCCAAGGATTAAAGTTGGGAAAATCTCCTTGGTTTGCCTCCTGTTGCCTAGATACAAATTTTACTGGAGACAGATACCAAAGCGTAGTAAACTATCGTATCCTACATCAAAATTATGGAATCAAAAGCTCGCCTGAAATTGTAATGTAAGACATGGTATTCAGTGTTTGACATCGCATTCACGAATAACTATCAAGGAAGACGAAATGATTATCAGATTAAATGAAAACGGTAAGACCGTTTTACGTTGGTATTAATTCTATTGAGACAAAGTAACTATTATTTACGCCGCATTTGCATATAAATTTATACAGTTTAGTCGAATTGGAATGTTTTAAAGCCTATTTAACCGTGAATATAAGTAAAAGTAACCGGTAGCTTTTCATTATTTACTATGTATGGATGTCCAGTATAATATCTAACAGCATTTTCTTGTTGTCAGCACGTACAATCCCAAATGCGCCAGGAATGTAAGTGCCACGGCATGTCGGGTTCTTGCACGGTAAAAACCTGCTGGATGCGTCTTCCACCGTTTCGAGTAATCGGCGATACTCTGAAAGACCGTTTCGATGGTGCGTCTCGGGTGATGGTAAGCAACGTTGGGAACGCACACAGCAACAACGCGCATAACAACAAATACAACAAAAGTAACAACATTAACAGTAACAGTATTCACAATCGACGGGAAGGAAAGGGTCGAAAACAGAAATACGGCTTTCAGTTGAAGCCTTACAATCCGGAGCACAAGCCGCCGGGACCGAAGGACCTGGTCTACTACGAACCATCACCGGGATTTTGTGACCGAAATCCGAAATTAGGGATACAGGGAACGCACGGTAGGCAATGCAACGATACTTCGATAGGGGTCGATGGATGTGATCTGTTGTGTTGCGGACGAGGGTATCGCACACAAGTGGTGGACGTAGTCGAAAGGTGCAACTGTACCTTTCATTGGTGCTGTGAGGTAAAATGTGATGTATGTCGAACGAAAAAGACAGTGCATACATGTCTGTAACCTACGGGCATATAAAACAAAAGGACTATGTTATAAAATGACTAGATCGCGAATGCAAATCCTGCAGGTGTTATCAGTATTAATATGAATAGAATTATAATTAGATTCTTCGTGACATTGTGATTTTTGGTTATTAAGTCACTACGTAAAGACGAAAACATTCCTCGCTAACGATTACAAACTGTATGCATATCGGATCGATCGACTGCATATAAAACAATCGCGCAGATATTTCCATTCAATTCAATACAAATTCCTCGAACTCGAAAATTTCCTAAATGAATGTGTTTCGTTTTAAGTATTGACGTAATATCCGCAACTATTGCTATTAAGTGAATTGCGTGTCTCTTATTAAAGACTGATTTGAAAGTTAATCTGTGAATATAATGTAATTATCGGAAAACTTCTTTCTTAATGATATTTCTTAATTTATTTATATGTATTATAGTCTCAATCACTTACGATTGTTTTAACGCTTAAGCCATAACTTTTATTCCATACTTTTATATTTTAGCCGACAATGCTTTTAACATTGAAGAATAAAATATTGTTATGTACGCTTAAACCTTTAGTTTACTAAGTTTTATTTATTTATGTATTATAAACAGTCGTATTGTATGCTGTTGTCATGTAATGTTCCGTGCATATTGTTAGTAATTGCCCACTTCCTGTAAAATTGTAAATATATAGTGTACATTTTGTCAATTTTTGTGTAACATATAATATTTTTATAAAGTAATATTTATAATCGTGGTACCTGTATTTGTCTATATTACAAATATTTAATAAATTGAGTTTTCTTATTACACATTCGCAGCTGAGTTACCCGTCACTTATCCACCTTGGTATCCACCCCATTCTAATTACATCGGCCTTGTACCGATATTAATTAATTTTTCCATTTTAAATTTTGGATCATTAGTCAACAAGTGCGAATAGCCGAAGAAAGAGACTAACAGGAGAGACTTTCGTTTTGGGAAAAAGGGAGCCGGTATGTCGTAAATAAATTAGATCCATATTACACCATTCATAGAGGAATATGTGATCTGTAGCTCCATTGGCGGTCCATCCCGGATTGAAATACAACTGAAATCAAACCGCAACGTTAATAGCATCGGAGCGCATAGTTCTATTCCTTTCAATTCGTTCTATTCTGAAAGTTTCATATTGGCTTAACATGAGCTACGATCACTATGGATTGTGGACCGGCATTCGTCTGTGAACGTGGATAGTTACTTACAAATTGCACGCGATTTTGGGCAATTGTGTCTTTATATTCGAAAAACAAAGGTAACTTTTTACATCTTTCTGTGTTTGCATCACGGTGTAAGTGCTGTAAGATGACAGAAACGTACGAACTGCTGTTTGAATTGTGAAGCAAACATTATAATTGCAACGGATTAAATTTTCCATTAAAAAAGTCCAGAACTGTACCTATGTGTTTATCCCAAACCATTTGAGTGTCATAACTCGTAAGCTCCTGTTCCGAAATATCATCTTCAATAGTTAAGGACGCATTTTTAAGCAGTATAATATAGACACATGCCATCGCCGAGGTTTTTATAAGACATTTTATTGATGATCTTAGGGGTTCGCGACTGGGCACTGCAATTTTGACTTACCCTATACTTAGTACAGTTGGCAACGATGAGGAAAACATCGCCATCTCGCTTTCATGTCAATAGATGTTTATTACCACTTTGAAACCTCGTTAACAGTAGCACAGCCGTCTATAATTACAAGCCATGCTGAGAAGTTTGGCAACGTTGTTCGAAAGTCAATCGGTGGGCCGATATAAGTTTTTTTGCGCGATCGGTCATTTCTGACTATTTACCATAGGTGTTTCCATGACAGTACGTAGAATTTACCAGTTGCTATGATTACGACGACGCCAAAATTACTTACCGATCTAAAAACAGAACAGCAAAAATACTTACCGACTCCTTTTTAAAAATCAACAGTCTTACATTACATTTAATCTTTAATTATTGTTAGGTACATTAAACGTACAATTTGTGCTGTTGTTTCCTATAGCAAGACGCTCATAAAGTCATAAAGGAAGTGCAAAGCTAGTAAACTACATCAGACACATGCACATTTTTATGAAATTATTAATTTCAATTTTGACAAATAAACTGGTTACCTAGTGATGTACACCATACCACTTCGATCATTTCGATTTATTCTGCTCGTTAATTTCTTAGTGCATATTTATATTGGTTGAATAATTTTAATTTCGATCGCGCAAAAAATGTTATAAGCACGTCGAACGTTAAGGGTTACCTTTCTCATGGCCGTTTGCACCGATAATTTTAAGTGGAGCTTAGCTTAAGGGTAGCTTAAAATCCATGCCAACGATTATTGAGACAATGGTTGCTATGGATTTTAGGCTACGCTTAAGCTAAGTTTCGCTTAAATTTGTCGGTGCAAACGGCCATCAGACAATAATTGGAGTCGTCGCTTCGCTCCTCCTCCAAACAATTGTCTTCGAACGGTAAAAATCCCTTACCGTTCTCCATACTTAATATACTATGATGACGTCTTGTTGCTCTTGAAAAATGGCATTTTTCCTCTTTCCTGTGTTTCACCTTGGCGGTTTTAATATACAAGAAAGATACTTAGGCAGCTTACAATTGTGCATATATATTATTTATTCACAAAAATGAATAATAACATTTTTATTTGACTTTAAAATTCGGAACGCTGTAAATTGGTAACTGCATCATAATGTGTTTTCCATCGAGATCTCCGAAATTGGTGAACTTCTGTCGAAAGAGGTCGAGGTGAAGCACACGCTTGAGCACTTAATTTCGGTAAAAGGACAGTAAATCGCTACGCATCAGCGAGGTGTTATCAACGACCAGGTGTGATTCGGAATGGCAGACTTTAAGCCAGTCACTACTCCAGTGGGTCTAGGTACGTAGCTTTTATAGAGGGGAGCCCCGTAGACTTCAAATTCCCGTACCATGAACTCTTGGGAATAAGTTGAAAGGTTCCTTCAGAAAATCGATTTGACATGTCCGTGCTAGAATACATGAAATACAAACTAATTGTATTTTTTCACAATAAACACTTACCGTACTTACATACCACGTAGTGTGTACGTCATATTTAGGCTTGTACAGGTATTTTGAACAAATACAAGTGCTTGTAAAGGGTCCAGTAAGGAGTAGCCTGCTTTAGAGGTTATGACAACAAATCGATATATTTCGCTAAGCAACTTACCTGAATAATAATTCCTGTTCATCCCATACGGAGTAACACAAATTGTCGCAATCTCGCTCTGTTAAAACAGGTAAATAGGAATATTACACCCAAAACACGTATAAAATACACCTGTAATCTGTCAAGTTGAATTAGGAAATCGGCCTACCATGCAGTGTTGCCATAATTCTCAGCACGGCTTGTAATTATAGACGGGTGTGACAGTAGGCACGGACTGGATATTTATATTATATTTGTCAAAATCTCCGCGTGACACCACCCACAACTCCGCCCACATGCGCAATATCAGATCTTTTATTTTATAGCATATCTTAAAATGACATTTTAATAGGTTTGAATGAGTAGACTAAGCCGTTCTTTAAACCAAAAGGTTAGATAAAGCGATCACTTTAACCCACAGAATACGGCCTTCTCAGAATAGAAACAGCAATGTTACAAATTTGTAAGGTATTTTGGCGGACCCTGGTGGGTGTACTGTGAACTAAAGCATCAAAATAAGAGTAGCGCCATCTGGTGACCAGCTTCTAAAGCCATGAAGTCATTTCTCTAATTTGATCTAAATCATAAATATCGATAAAGAATACACAGTTATTAAATTAAAGTGTATTTAGATACAATCACATTACATTATTTAACACAGAGAACTTAAGTTACATGTTTACAAATTACATATAAAACTCAGAAATGATTTGCACTTACGCTTTGTAGATGTTAACACTTTGCAGAAAGATCCTTACATAACGATTTGTCGTACGAAATATTTGGTTTGAATTGCTGTTTGGACTAAATATTTTTGTTAAACAATATCTTGAGAACTAAATTATTTGTTCCAAGAGGTAATAAAACCGTTTCAGTAAATTGTCACACAAGTTTTTGACAACAAATGTTAACTTGATCATGGTGCTTACTTTGTTACCAACCCTTACTCTTTGCTTGTTACTTGAGAAGCGAGGGTGGAAGTTGTTGAATTATCTAAAACGAATTACAATATAAGTATCTACGTCTATATAAATATATAAAACTCAAGTCTACACCCTTTTGCGCCTATACCGTTGGTAATTTATAAATTCCATACCTTGAATAAATAGGAAGAAATAACAGCACCTTCAACCTTCTTCGCGTTTCAAGCACAAAACAATCTGTTTCAAAATATGGGAAACGGTGCCTTTTTGATATTTTATCGTTACAATCCGCCACACAACACTTTTTACGGTCACATAACTTGTTCATATTTTAAATCTTTCAAAAGTCAAAATTGACATGTGTAAAACCATGTGTACGTATAAAATCGACGGTAAAAATATTTCCTGTAACGAGCAAAATTACAGGTTTTGCAAAAAAATATTTGAGTCTGCGATAAATAGTTCTCCGTACAACCACGGGAAACGCTGTAATCAGTGACAATTTAGCGCCATTTATGTTTCTGTTCTGTGAAGGTCCTATTCTGTGATACTATTTGATAGAATTTGTTTTATACCAGACATTCCACGGCATGACGTATATTGGCGTAGTTTTTGTATTATAAAATTCCATGGCATCACATATCATTGAAAAAGATGGGGGTTTTATTTTTCTAATTTTCCGTCTTTATTATGCAAAAAAATTGAAAACTAATACGGTTGATTGACGTAAAAAAAAATTTTCTACAAAAAACCTTAATACATTTTTGCTCTAAAATAATTTGGGGAGCCAATAATTGCATGTTATGCATATACATTGAAATCCCTATGATGAGCTATGCAAGTCACCACCCTGTATATAATAATAATAAAACACATTATAAAAATATAGGAATAGTATGTAATTCATACTTACCAAAATTGATGGCCACAACAGCTAACGCTAACAAACAAACAAACCTGCAAATTTAGCAATTTAAGTAAGTGGCGTTGTTTATTGTGTAAGGGTTTGTTTGGCTTTGCGTTTGGGTTGAATGACAGACACAAACGCACAAACTTGTCTTAAGTCATGCAGGTGCGTTAATGAACGCGTGTGTAAAAACGTCCGTCTGTGGCTGAAACTCTCACATGAACGTCGTGCAACTGCAACCCATCTGTCGCGCATCTACTTCAAAATTTTCTGAAATCATCTCCGTACGTTGTTCATCAGCACGGCCGGTAGGGTTTTCTCGAAAATATTTTTTGTACATTCTGCAAGTAAACGAACTCGGCGTTGACCGAGGAGGACATATGTTTAATGTCAGTGGCGTACACTTGTTTTGTAAAAAGACTTGTGCAGCAATACGGAATTACTACCAAAAACAGACGTAAACATCTGATTTGGGCGAAAGAATGCAGTATTCCCATATTAATTCACTGAAGGAACTACGTTCACAACCTGACGATTGGCGAAAATTACTTAAGGATGGGGGAAGAATGTTGAATGGTGCTTCTTAAATTAGTGACACCCTACCCAGATATGTAATGGAATTTGATCGGTTAGCAATCTTTGTACCTTTGAAACAACGGAGAATGAACTTTGAACAGTGTGAACTTTGATCGACAGCGTGCCCTAATTTGATTTGACCTTGACAGCGTGCCCTAATTTGATTTGACCTTGAAAATG